TATCTGTTTATGGAGTCACTTTACTGGGTTCTGGTTGGTGTACAGTGATACTCTAAACTTATACTTTTGCATGGAATCCCACTGTTGGATGACATTTGGCCTCCTGTGGCCCCAAAGCAGAGAGGTTTGTTCTGTACCCACCAAACTTCCTGTCTCTGTAACTTACTAATACTGATACCACTCAGTAGTTTGGTACTTTATGGATTTTGTTTGTTTGTTTGTTTTTTGAGGTAGGGTCCCACTATGTAGTTCAGACTGGGATTATAGTGTGCACCGTGGATATTCTTTAAATGGTAAGGGCTATTTCAATACACTGAAATCTAATACTATGTTTTCTCTGGGATGGAAAATACTATTTTACAAGGTGAAGACTTCCAAATATGTTTTGTATTCTTTCCATAGGTGACATGGGCAACCAGTGAGTATTTCTTAGTTGATTAACTAACATAGAAACAATATAGTATTACATTAAAGCATACGTAACACACAAAAATAATTTCAAAGTAAAAAAATTAATAAATCGTGGTATTTCTTTAAATAAACTTAAATTGGAATTAGAACTATGTACATGCCTTCCTGGCCTGGTGGCATGTAAATGGTAATTGTTTTGAAGAAGTTAACTAAGAGAGCAATTATAAACTAAATTATTTATGGGGTATAGTCATGCTTTAAACGTGCATGTATATTTTGACTATGATTTATTTTTATATTAAAACTGTTATTTTAAAAAAGATACAAATAGTACATAGTGAATGAAAAATAAGTTGAAAATTTATCAGATTTTCCAGTAAAATATTTCCTACTTTCAAATAAGATTATTAATCTTTAAGGCACATTTTATCTTTATATTAATATTCTAATTTGCAGTCTACATATGACCAGTAACTTCAATATAATTATTCTCTACATATCACACACATTCAAACTTGATACAAATGAACAGTGGAATTTTCTCTTCCATTGTGTAATTTAAATATGGGTAACTAAGCATTGTACTGGTTATATGTAATATTTAACTGCTTAATTTACAAATTTTACTTAACAAAGTATAAGTAAAAACATTGCGTTGAGTGCCTTAAATATATTATGTTGGTTGGTATCATATGTATGCTTTGGAACATTTACCTTCATTGTTTGAACAATCTCATCATTATTTTATTTTTAAAGAACTAGTGGAAGTCCCTTAATGTATGGGGTAAATTCTGTTTTTTCACTGGAGACAGTGCATTTGTAATCAAGGGTACACCCTGACTATCCAATACTTGATATCAGAAAATATTTCTAACAATTTGGGAAACTCTCAGCTTAACACAAAGACCATCCTTGGTGGCCTTAAGGGCAGAAAACCAAGCAGTTTGTGTTCTGATTGATAGTTGTCTTTCTGTATCATCCCATAGATTGCAATACAGCTGCAAATGCTGGACAATGTAGCCTTGAGTTACCAAGTCCTGACATGGGGATGATGATCAACTGGCTGGACATTCTTCCCGTATCTGTGCCCACTGCAGGCTGCTGTTGTCCTCAACTGTGACCTGAACAACTTGTAGGAGTCGAGTTTCTCTGTTCTTTCTAACCTCATAACAGACCTGGGATGAAAGACCTCCTTTTTCCTTCATTTCTTTTTTTATTGTGGTAACATATAAACATAAAATTTCCCACTGCAGTATTTCTAAGCACATAGGTCATTGGTATCATAGATATTCACATGGTTGTATCATCATCATCTCCAGAATGCTCTTTCTGCAAAACTGAAATTTTGTATCCTTGAACGCTAACTCCCGTTGTTCTTTATCTTGGCTTTTCACACCCCTCCTGTCTTTATGATTTCTATTATAGTGCTTTAGATAAGGGGAATCATAAGCATTCTTTTTTTCTCTCTCCTTTGTCTACCTTTTTCAATTTCATTTAATGGTTTTTCCCAAAGAAACATGATTTTTCCCAAAGAAAAGGTCATTCTTTTGACCTCTTCCTTTCCCTTTCTCTCCGAGAAAAAGTTTTAAAATCATGTGCTGTCTCTTTCTCCCCTTCTTTATTCCATTTATAAGCACCCCTTTTAAGAAAAGGAAACAAAAAGATACTTGAGATAATTTTCTGATTCTTTCATACAGGTATGAGTTTGAAAGTATAATTATCTATAACTACAGCTACCAACATCTAAAATCTCATAAATACAGTTCCTTTCAGTCACCGTATAAGTTTTTATTAACTCCCCTTCAATTAAAATTAATACCCTGCAACAAAAAACATATCTTTTAACTCACTTGTATGCTTTTTTTCTTGGAGGTTGATGCTCAGCATCTCAATAGTACTGTTTCCCTCTTCATTCTATAAGAATATGTAAATTTTAACTGAGTTATAGGGTTAAACAGATTTTTAAAGACTAGACTGCGGGAACCAATTCACTGATAATATTGTTTTTCCAGGCAAGTGTCCTAAGTTCCAAACAGCTCCTGAGAAATGAACTTCTAGAACACAATTAACTAATAAACTGGAAATTGTGTACTAGAAACCTCTCACAGGATTTTCATTACCAATTTAGAGCTGAAAGCCATAAACCAAATTTATGCCAAAAGATACATTAAAAGACATACACACTAAACAGTAAAAGAAGCCAGTCAAATCACCACAGCCAGGACCTCCTCCAGATCCTCTGGTGGAGTATATAGACACATAGTTATTAAAGTTCAAAACCTACAAGCCAATATGGGGATTATGTGAATTCTGTCAATAACTTTTGACTTGGAAGACATGTTGTTTTTCAAACATTTAATTTTTAAAAAATTGACAAAAATTTGGATTCATGAACCTTGGGAAAAAAATTGACAAAAATAATATAAATATTTATTGTGTGCAATATGATGTTCTGAAGCATATCTGCATTATGGGATGGCTTGATCAAGCTAACTAACATATATTGCCTCACATATTTATTATTTTTTCTCAAAGAATCTATCTGGTTTTCCTAATGTATTTTCTCCCATTTCAAGTTGAGGAAGATATGTTTAACTAGGGGAAAAAAACACTTTGAAGCAGTCACTGAAGTTGGGTGACGGCACTGAAGCTAAAAGTGGTTTCTAAGAAAGCAAGCTGGGAGTTGCAGAAATAAGCCCAGAGCAGACAACAATTAGCCAATTGTATTAGTCAGGAGAGTCACTCAAAATGACTAAAGAGATGAAAACAGAATGTTAAAGAAAAACCCTCAGCTCTTGCTTAAAATGCTGACAGATCATACATTACTTGATGGTTGGGTAAGTTTCTTAGCTGTGAATGTTGATCTATGAGGTCCTATTCTGAACAGAGAAGTGAAAAAAGCAATCATAATTACTGTCAGGGACAAGAAGCAGTGTCTAAGGATCCTTCTTCCTCCCCATAGGTCTGTAAAAGACTAGAGGCAAACCTACTTTGGTTAGGGAGTCAAATTCATGGCGAAGAAACAAAGTAGCTTGCATTGACTTTTGATTATTTGAAATCAATAATTTGAAAATATAGATATTTTCAAGACAAGCCATTTATCATATACAATATTAACACTCCTCCAAACTCTGAACACTCAGAGCCACTTCCACAGTATTTGGCACTTGACTCTGCAGTTTCACAGAGTTCTTTGATTAACTGGTACATGCAAATCTGCCTTCTCATAAGCAGCTTTAACTAACCTAATACTTTAGTACATCTCCCATAATACCTGAAATCTACTGTCTATAGTGGATATCTGATAAGCCAAGTTGCTGAGCTCTCAGAATGAAGTCCTGCCATATAATCACAGGCACTTAAGGAATACTAATTCCACATGCTAATCACAGCTCAGCTTCCTTGGAAGAGCACTGACGGAGAATGTAAACTTGCCATTCTCAGGGGGCTGCTGCAGAGTGGAGAAACCTTGAATCCTGAAGGGAAATCTGCTTACCACCTAGAGCACATAAGGTCTCTAGGGCAGGAATTATGTTTTTCTTTTCTTTTCCCAGCATATAGAAACAAGTAGGAGCTTAAAAGTTTGCATGTTAAATGGATGAAATCAAGTTGTTTCCCATTAGTCACTTGAATTAGTGTTCTCACATGTATGATTTTCTTTGTTCATAATTTTTTAAAAATTCCCAGAAATTAAGGTGATTCTAGGAAACAAACCAACTGGCGCCCAACACAGCACAGATGGAGGTGGTGGTGTTTCTCTTAGGTCTGCTGGCAGGTGTATGGGTGGCATGGGGAAGGCTGAGGATCAAGGAGGAAGTCATTGGCATGCTGACTCTGAGATCAGGACTTACTGTAGTGGGACAATAGTTGCTCTCCTTGAAAGCAATTATCAGATATCAACTGGAGCTCTTGGCAGCCCCCAGGCAGTGGAATGCCTTTCTGCATCGTCCCTGTCTGGCAGTAGCTTCCTGCCAGGGAAAACAGCCAAATAAGTAGCTTGTGACAGCTGTACAGTGAACAAGTCTTCAAGGCTCTTTGGTGCACTGCCATTTCTGACCTGCCTTTCTGCTACTGGCGAGAAGGTCAGATGCTACAGGACCCTATTTTCCACTGGCCTTCATATTTAAGCACTATGCCTACCTATCTTGTTCTTTTAGATGGAATTCACTGGAAGATGGTCCTTAGGAACATAGTGATTATGAGTTTGAAGGAGATCTATATTTCACTCTGTTCCCAACCACTGGTGGTTTTCAGTACGACCACATGACCGTACTTGTTTACTAGTACCTTGTCACACTACTAACATCTGTCATGAATATCACTAGAAGAAATCATCTGCCTGACTACTAAAAAAAAGTATAGGTAGCATTTTAACTATTTATTTCTTTTAAAAAAGAAACTTCAAAATCTTAATGGTTATTGTTTAGAATCTAAAAGTATTTTAATAGGGACTTTTATATTGTCCCAAAGTAGTTATTTTTATTTAAAGTGGTGGATATATGAACTCAATTCTCCATCAGCATAAATGCTAATTTAGATTCTTCTCTAAGGCAAGGGCAGAAAGTTAAAAATGACATTTTGAACATTACCTTTCAGCATCATTCGTCCAGTGGATCCTCCAAAAGTATTTACAAGACCACTTCTTGCTCCTAAAGATGTGGTTGCCTCTAGGAGAGATCCAGTGATGTACTGAGATATGGAAGTTGTTTGGAGGGTGGCGCGGTATTCACACACAGGGTCTCGGACACACTGCTTTAAGCACGGACCACTGCTAATCCTTCCATGGACTGTCTCAGGGGCCAGGAGCCTTGTGAAGAAATGGAGAAGAGAGCCAACTATATTTTCTGCTTCTTCTCTTTTCACTGCATTGTAGATCTGTGAATAGCACAAAGCACAGGAAGTATTAATCTGGTTTCTTAGAAAAGCAAATTAACTTGTTGACAAAATGCCAAGATGACTTATTAAGAAAGAAGGTTCAGTCGCTCTAAGCACAAACACTCTTGAGCACTGGACTCATGCATTAACCTGAACATTCTACAGACACCATTTATTTGGAAAAGCTATGTGTAGTTATGAAATAGGCCATTCAAACAACTCTGCTATCAAACAGAACACTTAAAGTTGTACCAACCCAAAATACATTTGCTCAAATGTGTTCCCTTCCACAGAGGAACAAAGTGCTTCTGCAGAGAGACAACGGCAATGCTTTTCTTATCCTTTTGGACTCTTCTAAAGAGTCCATGTCTGTCTGACTCTACGAAACACTTCAGCTTGACCTTCATGGGGAATCTTTGCCTCACATTCTAACTGAAGTGAAGGTGAGAGAGTCACAGGGAAAGAATCCTCCATTTTTCTTTTCAGCATAATCCAATATATCAGCTGGGATCAAAATCTCTGAATGTTTTTTCTTCTTACTTCTTTGTCATTTACATCCAGTGAGCTGGCAGCATCTCCCCTACCTTTGTCACTGTGCTGATTAGTCTCTATCACTTATATTCACCCAGAATGATCTCAGTAAGACTAGATTTTCAGGACAGGTTCCCAACTATGCCCCTTGTCCTTTCTAATACAGTTGCTCAACATGCATCATACTGATCTTGCTCTGTGCTGGGCACTATATCCACAGAGGTGAGGCAACGTAAAGAACAGCACACAAGTTTTATACTGCAGGATCTCACAGTCCAACTTGGAAGATGAGGCCTGACATCTGTGTGAAGCTTTTAGGTTCTGTTGAGTATTCTAGGCCTCGACTGTTAAAAGCACAGAGCTTCTACATGTCAGAGATGAGTGACCCCTGGGGTTTTTCAGTTTTTAGCAGTAAAATGATACTGAAAAGGTTTTGTACAGAAAGATAACCATCCAGAAAGCTCCTAATTACTAATGGGCTGTCTACTTCTTTTACTGGCCAAGCTGTTCCACTGGTGCTTGTGGCCTGCTCATTCCTTTATGATTTTATTGCCTACACTGTGCCTTCAAAGAGTCTCAGTGGTTCATTTGGTCACTTACCAACTTGTCCAAGGTATTCTTTCAGAAACATCAGAACTACAAAGGACTGTATGGTCTATAAACTCATCAATCACATAAGCTTGAAAAACAGCAAATGCATTCCATTTTGGAGACTCATGTTGTATAAAAGAATATTAAAGACAAGCAGAAGGTTTAGAGTGAAAAAAGTGATTTTATTTTGTTTAACTTAGTGTTTGAGTGTTTCTCATGCAATTTGAATATGGATTACATTTTTTTAAATTTGATCTTTTTGAGACAAGTTCTCACTATGCAGTACAGGCTGGAATTGAGCTCATTTTGTAACCCAGGCTGGTCTCAAACTCACAATGATCCTCCAGCTTTAGCCTCCTGAGTGCTGTGATTACAGGTGTATACCATCACATCTGGCTAATGGATCACTTTTTTTAAAAGAACACTTAGCCTATAGATGAAATGTTACACCAAATGATTTGTACTAATCCAATAGCGTTTTCTCAATTCCACTTTGAACTCTGTGGAATCTCTGATATACATGACCCCCATCCTCGTTGAAGTCTTTCCTAGCTTATCACCTCCCCGTTCTTCCTTATTCCATGTCTCTCCTTCCAATCTGACCTTTAGAACAGTTATAATGCAACAGAGAAATGCTGACAAGCACTCGATATAGGAAGGTCACAAAGTGATGGCCACAACCCAGACTTAGCCAACAGATTGGGCTTTATATCATACACAGTGTTTAAAATGGGGAAGGTTTACATACACATCTGTCTTGGTTGCTTGCTTGCTTACATACACATCTGTCTCATTGCTGAAATAAACTACCTAAGGCCCAAAATCAAGGATGGCTTATTTAGCTCAGTTTGTGGAGGTTTCAGTTCATAATCAGCTAGCTCCAAGGCAGAGTGGCACATGGCAGAGGGCAACAGCTCATGGCGGCCAAAGACAGAAAAAGCAAGAATAAAGGCCAGCCTAGGGTGGCTGTAGCACTCACATCCACAATCCCAGCCTTGGACCATGAACCAGTCACAAATTCTAGAAGCCTGCCCCCATGACTGCATGAGGTTTTAGGAGGACATCTACACACAAATGATAACAATATCGAAGTTCCAGCTCCTCCTGAAAACTGGAACAATCTGGTAGCACTGAATATTCTTGCATAGTATCAAATGGCTGCCTTTCCACTGTCAAGCAGGACATGAGCTCACCACCGGTGCCAGTTTCCACCATTCTTTAAGTCACAGTTGGCCAATACCTGATTTTCAGTTTGTACATGTTTGTGAAGAGATATATTTATTTTCAACTGGTATAACCTTGTGAAGAGATATGGATATATACATATATATTTATACACAGTTATTGTACAGTTGTGTGTGTGTGTGTGTGTGCATGGACATGTAAATATGGATGTTCTGAGCTACTCCAATGTGTTCTTATCCGTGCTAACTGCTAAAGATACAAGAGGAAAGCTACAGCCTCTGCTCTCAAATGTTGCAATTCACTTCCAAGAAACTATATACATATATATATATATATATATATATATATATATACATACATATATATATATATAAATGCTATGCTTATATGAAGTAGTTACTCTGAATTATTGTCAGCCACTTGTTTCTAGGCCCTCAAACTTGTTGGAAGAAATAAAAGATGAAGAGTTCTAAGAATGACCCTTTGAGCTGCTGTCATTACTAACATTCCTACCACAAGAAACCAAAAAGGTATCACAAGTCTTTATCAAGTCATTGAGTCAAACTAACATATCCCTGTCATAGCAATTCTGATGTTTGTTGTTGAAGCATGCACAAAGTGTGGTAGATGATAATGGGGAACAGGTTAAAATCAGGTTACTTTCTCTACCAGTGAAAGAAACCATGAAGATATCCCTCATACAGAGTGGGCAGAAAAAACATTATAGAACAATCATTATAACTGTAGCTCTAGAATACTGCTTTCAATCCTACCTCTCATTTTTCCGTCTGAGTAATCTTCCTTAGATAAGTTGCTTTGTTACTCTCTGCTTCAGTTCCCTTTTCTCTAGTATGGCGATACAAAAGTACCTGCCTCAAGGTTTTGAGCAGAATTACAAGCTTTAATAAAGATTTTGTGAATTATAACAACTAGCTCAAGAAACAGTTTGACAATGTGACAAGTGATGACTGTAGTGGACGATAAAAATGCCAGATATTATTTCTTTTTATTAACTCTGGCTAGCCTAGTGGTTGATTCCATAATAGGAATTTAACAAAGGTGATACAAGCAGGGCCCTGAAAAATACTTGTGCACTGGAGCTGGTTCTCTCCTTGCTTTGGGGACTTTTGAACAAGTACTATGGAAGAAGTCTGAGCCAGCCTGCTGGAGGATGACAGACCTTGCCCTGGTCACTCCTGTCACCTTGGCCAATAGCTTACGTATATCCAGACACACAGTGAGGCCACCCTAAACCTTCTAATCGTCAGTTCAACAACTACCATAGATGCATAAGAGCCCAGCAGAGATCATACGATACTGACCAGAACTCACTCAGTCAATTCGCAGGACCATGGGCTAAATAAATGCTTGTTATAAGAAGTTCTCATAATGACTGTCAAAATGATGATATGTTGGGCACGATACTGAGTAATCACATAACAACTGACTCTTAAGCACTAACCCTATGAGGTCAATTTCATTCTACAGAAGGAAAAAAATCTTACAGAGGTGGAGAAATACAGTCAGCTTTGCACAGCCAGTAAGAGGCTAAGGCAGGATTAAAGCCCAGATTTCTCCAACTCTGTAGGCTAGTTTTATCTCTCATGAGACCCTTGTCATCCCCACAGTTCAACAGTGGAATTCAGTATTACATTATTTGTCAAGGAGTTTAAATAATATTTATACTGCTATTGTTATTGTTTTTACTCATTGAAAGGATTTTGGCCCAGTTGGGACACTGTAGCTGGTGAGGCTGGGAGGCGGAACCAGGGGGCTCTATCTTGAGCTCTATCTTCCCCGCCCCTAGGAATTTACCTGTGGTGCGAAATGAATACCAATGGGCTATCTGCACATCACTAATGCCCCTCAGGCACCACCCCAAACCTAAGCTACATGTATGCTCCCACTCCACGTGTCCAACGGAGAGATTGCCAGACTCTGGAGAGAATGCCGGACCCCAGTGGGTTGGGGGGTCTCTCTCTGCATTCTTAAAATAAAGGTCATTTATATTTCACACTTATCTTTTCAGCCGCGCCAAAATTCTATCATATGGGTCCCTGACTGGGAATCCAATTCTATCACTCATCATTAATCCCTTTCATGGTCATCTTAAATACTAGTGAAGCTATTATTCTTTTTTTAAAGACAGGGTCTCAAGGCCTGCATTTAGGCAGGCCTTGAACTCACTTCGTAGCCAGAGTAGCCTCAAATTTGCAACAATCCTTCTGCCTCAGCTTCCTGAATGCTGGGATTATGGGTGTGTGCCACCGTGCCTGGCATAAATTCTGACCAAATAAATTTTCTTTATATGGAGATTTATAACTTCAAGTTAAAAAGCAAAAAATTTTAAAATTTTATCTCTGTTGACTACTGTGGTAGTAGAAGATGCTGAAAAGAAGACAGACCACCAGCTGGGTGTAGGGGTACATTCCTATAATCCCAGTATTTGGGAGGCTGAGACAGGAGAACCACTGAGAGTTCAAGGCCAGCCTGGGCTACAAAGTGAGTTTAATGTCAGCTTGAACTTCATAATGAGATCCTGTCTCAAAAAAAAAAAAAAAGAAAAGAAAAGTAAAAAGAGATAGACCATTATCCTGTATTGGTCAATATCATTGCAGAGATGAAATCAACATGTCATAACATGGTGACCAAGCTTACTAAAGAGCAGTGGGTTTATGCATTCATTCAACAAA